TTTTTTTTCTAGCTGCGACATTTCAACATCACTACGAAAGTATCGGATTTGTGGCAAAAGGGTAATATTGTGCGGAGCGGCTTTGTCTCATCTGACACCCGTGTTGTATTTCGTTCAAGCAGCAGTTCCGTGAGTCCTACAGATGTTTTGAAAGTACGAATCTCATCCTGTTTTGTAACTGTCGTACTTACTGATTTTGTCAGTCCTTGCCATACCCGGGAAGTCGGCACATAACACACAATCTTCCAGATTCTTATCTATATCCAAATGAGTTCTGAGATGTGGCAGCTGGATCCACAAGGCGATCTCTACTTCGAAAAGTGTGTGAAAGGTGAGTCGCAATTTTTCACTTCTCAGCTGATGTTATACTTTGCTCCCACTAGGGCATAAACCATTTTAGGTCTTCTCAAGAACTCACATAAATCATCCTTATTACCTGAGTCATCATTTCTTCCAGGTTTTATGGCAGAACTGTTCACCAAGTGGCATATGAACTCTAGTGCTCATTACGTATCGATTATTCTTTGTTCACGCTTTTATCTGCTTGGTGATGTCGATAAAGACGTCGCAGAGCAACTGGGCCCTAGCGCACGCGATCATCGTGGACGGTATTTCCAGGTATTTGCCGGGGTTATGTTTGATTAACTTCATGTGTGATCTAATTTTCTAGGATTTTTATCGATTATTGGTACAGAATGAACATTACGAAGACTGGAGTCATGTCCTGTCCACGGTATGTTGCTTACGTTGCATAGAAAGCTTCTGTCCCATTTATTTTTTATGCTTGTAGATAAAGCTGTCATTCAACAACTACCAGGAAACCATACAAGATGTGCTAGCTGCAAACTATCCAAACCTGAAGTAAGTCTGCAGCGATTTTTTTCTTTGAAAGAAGCCGCAGTGTTGGTAAGAAGATAGCTATCCAGGGGTCGATGGGAGATCTCCACAGCAGCAGATGGCAACTTCTTGCAAGTCCTGAACATGAGCATGAACTCATTCAGTGTTTACCATACTGACAGAAGATTTGAAACCACTGGACAACAGGTAATTTGAGATCATTTTGAGGCAAATTGTTCAAAATCGTTGACGGATGGACCTTTGCTGACGTTTCTGAGAGGTCAATCGTCGGCTCTCAGCGAAGGAGCTTTGGTACATTCTGCTCGGCATGACTAATCGGAAGCCGTCATTATACTAAGTTAAGGGTTTAGTTGGATCTGATGACCCAGGAGCGCGTTTCAGCTTTAGATAAAGCTCTATAGGTATAGTAGACGTCAGAGTTATCCGGTGCAACTGGTTTATGAACCGCGTATGCGGGTTCACCCGTTTGTTATTGGTCAAGCCAGTGATTTAACCATCCGTGAGTGAACCGCCCGAACCGATTGAACCGGACAAGGTAGCGTCTCCTTATGCTTAGCTTGTCTGTGGATAACAATTTGAGCAGAACATTGTCTGCGAGTTGGAAAAGACTTATGGCAGTGCTTCATATATCCTGTTCAACTACGTCAATTAGCAAGTTGATTGCAGATAATTTTTGTAACTCCTGGAGGTGGTGTGCTGAATGTGGATCGAGAGATGGTGAACATGACTAAACAAAGAATCATCGACATGGGAATATCACTTGACATGGTATGAGCATCTCGCCTTTCTTTTGATAAAGGTTGAGTTTTATCGGCACATACAGGTTTGCCTGGGAGAGCAACCTCTGCATGCAGTTCCTTTGTTTGTGTTTCACAATCGTTGGAACTCTTCACAACCTTTCGAAGACTACTTTATACCTCACTGGATGAACTACTCATATTATCGAATGAGCAAGCGGAGCGCAATATCGATAAACTTCCGGCCAAGGATCAATTTACCCAATGCTATTTTGGTATGCTTACTGCTCACACTTCGTCTTTCGAGAGTTGAGTAATGCTCTTTTAGTCCGCCCCGCGTACTTTGGTTATGGATGGTGAGACAATACAACATTGTGATATGCAAGCATATGATGTAGAGGCATTCTCGAAGCTGCTGACACCGACTAAGTCAGTATTTTGAACCTAAATATTTTACTGACAAATCCATAGTTCATGCTTTTCTAGATTTGGTGAAAAAGGAAAGTCTCAAAACTTGCTAGACGAGTTGAACAAAGAGTTAGGTTTACCACCTGAACAGACTGAACCGATCCCTTTGCAGCCTTACGAACGAGTTAGTTTTCAGTATCTTTCACTCACTTTTCGCCGAAATGTCCTTTTTTATAGTCACTCTCAGCTCGTGTAGGGCCAAGTTCGCTAGACAACGCCGGCAGTGCGTTTGGAATACGCAATGGCATTGAAAGTGGATCATTGGAGCAGAAGCGATTTGTTGGAGGTGAGTTGAAGTTTTGGTGTCTACCAGATTTTTCCCCCATTGACAATTACTTCCAATGCATCATCTTTCTATCGGTCGGTATTTATTCTCAGTTTATTCTTCATATTTCATGCAGCTGCAAAAGAATCCTAGATCAATGATAGTGACGAAGTTTTTTCGTCCACTTCTGTATGACTTATATCTCTCTTTGTTCTTTTAGTGGCTGGTTTCACATGAGTTATGATTGCGTGAGATACTCGCAAATTTTTTT